TAAAAGGCTTGAAGAACATGAATATATCTAATACACAAAGAATCCAGTAATGGTTAAGGTCACAATTACACAGATGTCCTTATTAACTAAGTTTAACTTTTACATTAAAGCATAGTCAAGGTCCAAATAGTTCTCATATATATACATAATAATTGTTTATTTAACCAACTATATTTAAAAGACTTTAAAAAAATTTTTTTTTAGTTGTAGGTGGACAAATACCTTTACTTTGTTTATTTATTTTTACGAGGTACTGTGTATGGAACCTAGTGCTTCACACATTCATGGTAAGTGCTTTACTGCTGAGCCACAACCCCAGCCCTAAAAGACTTTAAAACAGGTTTAAGCCCTAATCTCTTTAAGTCTTAGTTTCCCTAACTAATAAACCCTAACAAACACAAGAATTATCTAGATAGATAAGAGCATATCAATGTTTGGAGACCTTCTTGTTTCTAATCATAGAGAATTAGCATATTGAGGTTAACCTTAGGAAAAAACCTTTGAATAACTTTAGCTGACTGTGCTGATTATATCCAACTTAATCACATACATGAACTATTTGAGGTTTACCTTCTACAAACCTCGTGCAACTTACTTAGACATTCTACAATTTACTTACTATATAAAATACTTCCTCATCCAGAAACATTTTTCCTTTTAATTTTCCATACTAAAATATGTTTCCATACCTATAACTTTGTTGTATCTCTCTTTATTCCAGTTGCTGATTCTTTCTTAAATTTACATTCTGAAAAAATTCTTATAAATTTTCTGAATTTAGACAAATTGTTTCTTTTTTAACGTTAACACTTTATTATTATTATTTGTGGTGCTGAGGATAGAACCCATGGCCTTGTGCATGTGAGGAAAGCACTCTACCAACTGAGCTATATCCCCAGCCCAATTGCTTCTTTTTAATAAACTTTTCACAGAATTTTAATTGAAAAGAGCTGAAAAAAAACTTTTTATCTATTTACATATAGAATTATACCTCTTCAAAAAAGTGGGTTTTTTTGTTTGTTTGTTTGTTTGTTTTTTAATACCAGAGATTGAATTCAGGAGCACTTAACCCCTGAGCCACATCCCCAGCCTGGCTTTGAATTTACAATCCTCCTGCCTCAGCCTCCCAAGCCACTGGGATTACAGGCGTGTGCCACCATGCCTGGCTACATGGTAGAATTTTAAACCTTAATAAGCTTGCTTTTAGTTTAAAGCCCAGAAATAAGCAATCTTTAACTTTTTTTTCATTTACCAATTTATAAAAACACACTTAATGAATCCAAATATATGTTAACTTGTGGAATTCAAAAAGCCAGGAGTATTTAAATTTATACTTAGTTGATGTTTTAGTATTCTAACTTTGCAAATTAATCAAATTTCTCTTCTAAAAAATACATGAAGATTAATCCTATTTATGTTAAAAAACTAATTTGCCCATTTCTAACTTAGGTTACTCATGAAACCAAGGTATCAAACAAGTCTGGTTAACACTTTAAGTCATTTAGTCCTACCAAAGAAAAGTCCTTAGAAACAGTGGGCATTGTTGAACTTTAAGCATTTTATAGACACAAATGCTTTGGCCACCTAGAAAAATATGTGAGTTAGTCATTTCAGAGACATCTTTACACTTACCAATTTAAATTGATCCTTTTCGTTAGGTTTTATTGAAGTCATGTGAACAGAAAGGCATTTGGGTCCTTTCATTAAACTGATGAGTTCTCATTTATCTGTAAACCAATTTTGGTACCTTGTACATGATATAGACACCAGTACATATATAGACGTGGCATGCACAACTCAGTTATGCACAAGTATCCATCAAACAGACAGGAAACTGATTTGGTAGTGCTTTACCAGGTATTAAATCCCTACCTGTAGGAGGCAAAAGAACCATCAGATTTAACCCTTTAGAAATTAAAATAGAGCCTATCAGATTTTTACATAGGACGCAGACCTGGAGAGGGCCTGGGTCCATTTTCCTTCCCTGTCCCTCAGGCTCGAATTTTCCCTGAAGATTTCATGTATACCCTCAACTCCCTATCTGCTCAATGAGCCCAAATAAAACAATATTTTATCGTCTTTAGTTTCCTTTTTCCCTTTTGTCCTAAGACTATCTTTCCAATATTTTAACATCAGGCCCAACGGTCTACCTGGGGCATTTTGGTGTCATGTATTTAACTACCCCTGCACTGTTGTGGCTCCTTCCCCATCCTGCTCTTGTGGGTGTGGTCTCGTGTTTCTGAATAGAAGTTCAAACCACCATCACCATCAACACCACCCCCATTTTGGAGGGTTTTTTTTCACTCATGTCTCAGTCACACTCATACAACCTCTGGGATGTCCTGATCACCAAGGAAGTACTTCTTTCTTGAGAACAGATTTTCCTACCTTGGTCTGCGCACAGAGTTACCTGGTCACCGAGGTGCTTGCTTGGGCCCTTTCCCTGCATTGCTGCATTGCTGATCTACTCTCAGTTCTGGGTTCACTGTGTGCCTCAGGGATTGCAGGTTTCCTCCCCCACTCTGAGGCTGCTGCAATAGGTAGCAGAACTAGTGAATTACCTCATTTAACCCACAGATAGCTATTGTTTCTTTTTTTTATTGTTTCTCTACAGATAAAGAGATTGGAGAACAAAGAGGTTAAGTATTTTCCTACTGTCCCACGGCTATCAAGTGTCTGAATCAGATTTTAAACCCAGGCAGTCTGAGATCAGACTGATAAGGACTCAGAGCATATCATATGTTTAACTTCCCCTGCACTGTTGCGGCTCCTTAGAGTCCCTGCCCTCATGGAACTTAAAGTCTTTTTTTTTAAATCAGGCAAGCTAAAACACCACCAACAGTGATGTAATTCACTTGTATTTGCTGAGAAGCAACTGAGAAGTAAGAATGTTAGTAAAGGCTTGACATCACGGGGCCATCAGGGAAAAGTCAAGGTCCTGGATGGAATCTTGGTCCAGGTTCTCCAGTGTGCTCTTTGGCAAGACGAGTCACCTCTCTGAGGCTTCATTTCTTTATTTGCAAAGTGGATTGTCAGTGCCCATTCTGTCTGCCTCCAGGCATCTTTATGGAGGCTAAATGAGGTGGCAGATGGAAACAAGGTTTCAAAACAGGAACAGAGCACCGGACAAGGGTTTATTACAGGACCAAAGTGAAACTTTGGTGTCAGTTTGATGAATGAATGAAGGAAGGAATGGTCCTAGCAGCCCTGCAGATTGACTCTGTGAATGACAAATGGGTCCCTTCGGGCCATCCGTTGATGTTTTTCAGCGTCCCAATAAGACTCTTTATCCTTGGCCATGCCCTGGTGCTCCGGTCCCTTGAGTTATTTTGCATCTGATTTTGTGTGAGCCTCCAAGACTGTTTTAGCAATCATTTATTAATGTCTTTTGGGAAACAGGTCTTGCAGTCAACTCTGGGGGGAGACAGACAAATTTGGAATGATCTCTGCCCTCAGGGGCTTCCAGGCTAAGAGAAAAAAATGTTAATAATAATAAAAACAGAAGCAATAATGACTTGCAATTATTGAACATTTAGCCCATGTCAAGTTTTATGTTTAGATTTTGTAGGCATTATTTCATTTATTCACAAAACTTTCTATGAATCACTAGAACTAATGTCCCCCCTTTGCGTACATAGAAATAGATTTAGACAGGCTAAGTAACTTACTCCAAGCTCACACAACACTCACTGAAGCTATAGAGCTTGGCACAAACCTGAGAAAGAAGATATAGAATGAGGTAACTATTAACTGCTGTGGACCCTAACAGAGGGACCAGCAGGATGACTGTGGTGATGGTGACACCACAGCTGCTGATGTAATGCTGATGTAATGCTGGTTTCGTTGATGACGTTGATAGGAATACTGCTGATGACCTAACCTTATGGTGTCCATCTGCTGAGCTTCTGCTTTGTGCCAGGCCCTGGGCTGGGTGCCTGCTACTATTTTCATTTAATCATCCAGTGTCACAATTTTCATTCCCATTTTTCTCAGGACACTGAGCTAGAAAAAGGCCACCTGCCTGCCCCAGGGCACACCTCCAGTCTGAGCTGGCTGCATCTCTAGCTGCCTCCAGCAGCGCAGAGGCTCCTCCCCCCTGCCAATCCTTACCCTGCAGGGCATGGGCTGGGCATCTCAGAGATACACCATAAATATCTGTTAAGTGAATATTGAATAGATGGATTCCCCAGGGCTTGAAACCTAAGCCTAGGAGACACAAATAATGTCTCAAGTGAATATGTGAATGAGCATTATTTAAATCTACCCAGTGCTGCTGTGATTACTAAAATGCAAGTTAATTGCAAAGTATTATGTTCATTGTTGCATTTGCATTGTTGTTTATCTTCTTGGTGAGAGGATACTAAGAGTGCAGTTACCATCAGAAGGAGTTTTGAGAACTATCTTCATACAAAAGGGTCTGTGTGCTGAAAATGGTGGCAGCATCCCTTCACCCTGCGCCACATCTTCAAAGTGCTTTTCCCAGTGTCTGGCACAGTGACCACATGGAGGAGGGAAGCTACTCTCCAAGCTGGGGACAGGACTGGGGCATTGCTCCTGGGCCCACAGGCATCTTTCTTTTCTCCATGAGAACTGATACAGTGTCTAATAGCTCGTAAATGGCTATTGAATGCTTGTATGAATGAATTAATAAAGAAAGAAAGAATGAATGGATTACCTCCAACAGGTGCATGGGGAGTCTGTGGAAGGTGTTTCCCCCAAGGAATAGGAAAAAATCAGGGCTTCCAGGCCCGGGGTGCCTGCCTGCAGGGTTGGCAGGGACAGGGGGCTATGACTTTCCACTCTGTGTAGGGGGGTGATGAGGCTGTGGTTGCACGTCCAGGGGGCCTGGTCTTAACCCTGCTATGACCATGTTGGGGAAGGGGCAGTGACTGGGGCTTTGTGCTCAGCAAGGTGGTGCTCACCATTTTTTGATGCAGTTTTTTCTAACTCAAATGAAAATTGACAGAGGTATAATGTTCTCACTTCTCTGTTCCCCACAGGCCTCCCTCCATCACAGTTCTTGAAACTCTTAGAAGTCTCTGATAGATCTTGACCATGAGACGGTGGCTGGCCTTTGACAGGTAAGCTCTCTCCATTCTCCCCACACACCACAGGCACAGCCCAAAGGCCCCTGGGCCAGGTTTTGTGGCCGGGAGGTAGGTGGGGATGGCCTTGGTCTTGGGTGGGAGAATGGAACCCCACACTCTATGGAGACTTCAGGAAAAAGCCACCCAAACACCCAGAGTTCTGCAGCTAGCAGTTCTGCTGTTGGCAGCAAGAGTGACAAGAGTGTGGGGAGGGGAGCCGGGGAATAGTTGTGACCTCAGATCTCTGCCTTCATGTCACAAAGTCCCAAGCAAGCAACTGCTGCTTTGTGTCCGTTTCTTTTTCTGTCAAGTGAGGCAATAAATGGGACTCAGCGAACAGGGCAGGCCTCAGGCTGGCTGGTCTGGGCTCCCACCCAGGCCCGGGGATGTTGGGGTGGGGTCCTCCATGAACAGTCAGCTCCGTGGTTCTGAATGAGTGGCTGAGAGCTCAGAGGAGGTGGTTATGTAAGGACCCACTGAACGGCAGCAAGGGGCCTGGGTCAGCCAGCTCCTTGATGAGTGTCTGTGGCCCAGCCTCTCCTATCTCGGGGCCCTGCTGCAGCTCTTCAGAGAATCTCCAGGCACTCTGGACACCCACCCTGCTCTGGGCAGTGGCTCTGGCCGTGGGCTGCTTGGCTTGCCCTCTTCCCACCCTGCCAGCTCTGCTCCCTCTGTCCTGCAGGACAGTGGGCTGCATCCCCCAGGGCAGTGACCTTCTAGGGACTCAGCCCAGGTATTAAGCCCCTCTCAGCCTCCCCCTCATCACTAAGTTATAGCAAGGTGACTCCTGCCCCAGAGGGGTGTCTGTGTGGTGGGGAACACTTGTCAATCTTAGAGTTTTACAATTTCCTCTCTTGGCACAACTCAAAGACTTTCATATCTTCTGTGCCAAAGCGGGCTCTGAGACCAGAGAGCTGCCCTCCGGCCCCACCCCATGCCTCCCATTGGAAGCTGGTCAAACCTCCATCTGCAAAACCCCTGCCTCCTTAGATGATTCCAGACTCAATCACAAGAGCTCTCAGGAAAGGGCTGAACAGGGCCCATCATATGGTAGTCGACATGTACATTCTGTGCTCTGCCACCTCTATCCCTGCCCTGGAGAGAGTGGCTAGAAAGACCTGTGAGGGCTTGGGTTCAACATGGCACGCAGTTAGCATGTGCATCGTAACAGGAAGCGAGGGCACAGGCCTCAACCTTCCTTTGAAAAGTCTATTCAGTAAAACTCGGTTCCAGGCACTGGTAGACTCTGGGGACCCAGTCAGCAATAGGATGGTCCCTTCACAGAAGGGACACGTGGAAAAAGGGGCAGCCATGCACCATGAGGAAGCTCCCAGCAGCGACTGGTGAAGAAACAGACATGCAGAAGAGAGGCGGCGACACATTCAGGGAGGGTTGTGACTCGAAGGCGTGTGGAGAGGAGCATGTGGTCTGGCGCCTGTGGGGTCGGTCAGTGGGGTTCTTCAGATGAGCAGGACTGCAGGAGGGAATGGAGGCCGCCCAGGTAGAAGGACCAGCATGGGCAAAGGCCTGGCTGTGGGAGCCTCTTGTGGGCTGGGCCTCTGTGGCTGGTGTTGGTAGTGACCTTCCCGGCAGAGCTCCTGTGGCAGGGAAGCCTTCCCAGAAGCTTAGCATCTGGCTCCCATCAGCTCAGATGTCATTGGGAGGGTCACACCTTCAGCCAGGCTTCACAGATTAAGAGGAAGGAGGCAGATGAGTTCCGTAACGAGGGCCTCTGGGCAGCCTGTAACGGTGGCAAGTCAGTGGGAAACGCTCTGGCTTCTCCTGGCTGGGGCTGAGGGCTCAGTGTACCTGCACACCCTGGAGGGGTCTGGAGACATCATTGCATTTGCACTGGTAGCTCAGGCCCTGAGGAAAGGTGGAAAGATCCCAGATACCTGCATTCTTGGCCACTAGTACTCAGACAGAGGGTGTTCAAAGGACTATGGGGCCCTGGAGGAGCGAGAGTCAGGGCAGGGGCAGCTTGGCACTGTAAGGAGGGAATCTGAAGCAGGACCTGGCCAGTAGCTTAGCCAGGTTGAACCCAAGCAGTCTGGCCTAAGTCCCTGCTCAGATGACCCTGGGCAGCCTTTCTCTAAGCACTATAGGCACCTACAGGGTTGGAGATAAGTCTGTCTTGCTTTAGTACCCAATAGACACTCAGTGAAAATGAGCTCACTAACAAGAATGCACAAAGGCCTGATGACTTGGCCCCTGAAAGAACTGGAGCAGAAAGTGGGGATGGGGATCGATTCTCGGGCAGAGGGAGCAGCTGGAACAAAGACCTCAGGTTGGAGCAGCTGGAGCTGCCAGGAGGTGCTGCCCGGTGTAGAGTGTGCAAGGCTGATGGGGCTGGAGAGGACAGTTTAAGTGGCAGCCCCTGCAGCCCACCTGCTGCATCCCAAAGACCTGGCACCTGCTGCCTTCCCTGCCCAGCCTGCCCTACCTTGAGAAAGGGAGTGCACTGGGCCCTTTGTGGCCCCACATCCTAATTTGCCACTTCTTCCCTCTAAGGTTCCCATACACTAAGGCCATAAGCCCCTAAGAGGTAGGGCAAGTGTGCCAAAGATGTCCAAGAAAGACTACTCAAAATGCACTCCTGTAATGGGAAGCTTTGTGAATGTTCTAGGCTTTGGGAGCAGGGTGGGGATTTGGGGCTTGCTTTGCCTTGTTTTTTCAAAGGCCCTTTCTTTCCTCAAACTAGATGAGCTGCACATCGACACAGGGTTGGGGCTAGCTCCGTGGCTTCCTTGCTGGGCACCCTTGGATGAGTCAATTCACTTTTTCGTTCCTTGGTTTCCGTCTCTATAAAGTGGGAATCAAAGCAACTATAGAAATAATTGGGGCAGCATTTGGGGAAACTCTGGGACAACACCAGGCTTAGTGAAAAGTAGTTTTTGGGCTTCCTATTTTGCTAGTGAGGCCTCAGTTTGCTCTATAAAATGAAGCGTTAGACAATGTTGATCTTTACACCAGCCAGCCATGTTAATAGCTTTACCATACATACCCTACATGCCTAAACATACGTGTAATTCAATCATTTGTGTATGGAAGATACATGTGCAATTTTTAGCCCCTTTTATTGTGTTTTCTTCTGATTATAAAAGTTATACATGACAAAAGTCATACATATTTATTGAGAAAATTTTGTAAAGTTCAGGAAAAGAAAAAAATGCACCCACTGCTCCACGTCCATGATTGAGATACTTAGTGAATCCCTCCCCCACTTTGCTGATGCATATGTCCATACACACATTTCAAATATATGCAGGTATTTTGGATGACAATCTGCATTCTATTTTTTAACCCCAGCTGGGCTATCAACAGGCCACTGAGCTGGGCCGTCTGTCCCTGTGCCCGGGAGGAACTGGAGGAGCAGCTGCCTCTGCTCTCCCACTTCTGCCTGGGCGGCTGGTTGGAGGCATCTGACCTTCGGATGTTCCATGTCTCTGGCGGGTGCACATTTGACACTAATTTTAGCTTGGCCTCTCGAGCCCTCTGGCCTTGGGGCCTGCACATAATGGACGCCTTATGTAGACAGCTGCCAACGGTGCAGGAAGAAGTGTCCCACCTTAAAATGTTCCTCATCGCCGGCCAGTGCTCCGCTCTCGGAGAACAAGCTGGCTCCCTGTTCCCTCTCCCATCAGGAAGGGGCGGTTGTTGATGTTCATGGCCCAGCAGGCTGTGCCAGGGGCAGGTGGCCCACCCCTCACACACGGGACACTGCATCTCTGGACAGGGTAGTGTTTTTACAGGATGGGTTTTGGTTTGAACTGGAACAGCCAAGAGACTTCCTGAGAAGTGGCTGTGGGTGTGGGGTGTCTGAAAAGTCCTCGTGTGTGTGTGTGTGTGTGTGTGTGTGTGTGTGTGTGTGTGTGTGT